CCTTGAATGAACAAAGCCAAGCCTTCTGCTGACAGACTAGAAGTAAAGGCAAAAAAATAACTAGAAGTAAAGGCAAAAAAATAATCGAGATTCAATTATTACTTCAGCGATCCTCACAGATGTCAGACTCATGAGCACATAACACATATGCAGGAGTTATATCAGGGGCATCAGGTCACCTCCCACACTACACCAAACCAGAAGGATTTGCACAGTGAGAAAAAAATCACACTACTCAGAACAAGCAGTTTCTTAGATTAAGTGCCAGAGTCATTTAAAAAAAAAAAACAAAAAAACCGTCCATATACATGGGTTCTAAAAGCAACAGAAAACCCAAATAACTACTTGGCAAGCCTATACCTAACTAGCAAACTGTCATGCTCTACATGTAGAGCAGATAAACGACATTACTTGAATTTACTCCACATCAACGTGATAGTTCAGTTTGTACTGACAGAAGAAACTATCTGTGGAGTACAAGCAAAAGAGAATATGCTAAAATGCAAGAAAAATAAGGATGTTGCAGTAAGGAGACTAAAAAGAATAGGCAAGAAACCCATTTTAATCCAAGTCATGTGATGAAGAAGCATTCCATTTTAACATCTCTGCCTAAATCAATGATTTTCAAATGACTACTTTCTTTAAAAAAAGCATACAAGAATCAATCACCTGGGAGCCAGAGTATGTATGTTTTCTTTATATCACAACAATGGTCCCACCCTATTCCTCTTTAAAGAATCACAAATGTTGAGAGTCACTATTATTGATGGAAGAAGGCCACAGCTTTCAGGAATGTTGTGACAAAACATTCCTGATTAGTAATAATAAATAAATAATACATTGGTAAGTATTTCCTGACTATGACAGTTACTATTAGGTTGGAGCAAAAGTAATTACTCTTAATGGTAAAAACCACGATTACTTTTGTTCCAACCTAATAGGAAAAGATCACAACTCACTAAATCTTAACCCTGGCCAAATTTCATAAGTGTGACAGTAAAAGAAGATGAAATAGAACAAGATCTAAGGGAGGATCACCAGGCTATGAAAAAGGAAGAATAAAAATATCTTCTTGGCTGGGCACAGTGGCTCAAACCTGTAGTCCCAGCACTTTGAGAGGCCAAGACGGGCAGACTGCCTGAGGTCTGGAGTTCGAGACCAGTCTGGCCAACAAGGTGAAACCCCGTCTCTACTAAAAATACAAAAAAATTAACGAGGTATGGTGGTGTTCACCGGCAATCCCAGCTACTCGGGAGGCTAAGGCAGAGGAATTGCTCAAACCAGGGAGGTGGAGGTTGCAGTGAGCTGAAATCGCGCCACTGCACTCCAGCCTGGGTGACAGAGCGAGCCTCTATCTCAAAAACAACAACAACAAAAAATGTTCTCATGAATATCAAGTTTTAAGATAGAACAGAAAATAGTTGAACAATCCAAAATATAAAATGCTCTCAATTTTCTGTCTCCAATTACATCAAGTAAGCAAGGATAAAAAGGACCCTGGGACTGAGTGACCATATCTAAATTGGTCAAATTCAACTTCCAGTCAACTTCTGACATGGTGGATAACCTAACAAAAAATCATAGCAGAAAAATATTCAAGGGGAAAAAAATGAAGGTAAATTCAGAGATACCTGTTTTTTGCAGGAAGTGCCAAAGAGGATCTCGAAAATAGGATTCTTTTGTGGCAGTCACTGTCTTGGCTTAGAGATCAGCTTTTTGCATCTCTACCTAACTTCATTTGGAATTTCATTTGGCTCAATGTTCTCAACCCTGACTGCAAAATTAAAATAACCCAGGTAACTTTTTACAAATAGCAATGTCTAGGTCCTGCCTCTCAGAAGTGTTGTTTAATTACTCTTGGATTCCAGTATTGATAGTATTTTTTTTAAAGGCTAGAGAGAGAGAATGTGTATTTTTAAAAACTGGTACTAATGTGGGACCAATTTTGCAGATAGAGTTGAGAATCATACAGTTACTCGGAACCAGGCAATACTTGTCAGCAGTACACCACTGATCTCTATGGGTGAGGTTCCATTAGAAACCCATGATAAAAGCACCAACAGTCTAGTGGCCTGGTTGATAGCCTTCCTGGAATGATCACTGAGCTAACCTAAATGCTGCTTCCCAAACCACCACACAATTCTAACCCTGGCCATATTTTAAATAGGGGTTTGGGTTGAATTCAACCACTCCTAGCTAAACTATTCTCCCTCGAGGGCAAAAGAAAGAGCCCTTTAACAAAATAATTTAACAAGTTTCTTGCCCTCCCAATTAATTTAAGGTAGAGGAGAAGCCCTCTTTCCAGGAGTCTGTTTACTACTGAAGTCAAAAGAAAAAGGTATCTGAGAATACAGGCAGCTATAGTTCAAACACTAAACTGAAGTGGTTCACAGTGGGGGTCACAAGATATTCTATGTCCTTACTATGCAAAATGTGGACCATGGACCAGCAGCTTCAGTGTTACCTTGTTAGAAAAGCAGACTCTAGGTCTCACCCCAGACCAACTAAGACATCTCTCTCAGGCTCTGTGTGGTGGCTCACATCTGTAATCCCAGCACTTTGGGAGGCTGAGGCAGAAGGACTGCTTGAGCCCCAGATTTTAAGACGAGCGTACAAAACACAGTGAGAATCCATTTGCAAAAACAAAACCAAACCAAACCAAACCAAACAAAACCTTCTCTTTTACAAAATCTTTAGGAGATTCACAAGTATATAATTTATTTTGAGAAGCACTCTGTAAGGCAAGGATGCATTAAAAAAATGGCTTTGAGGATTAATTTTCTCTTTAGATAATTTGCATAAGAATAATAAAAGTATTTTTAAAGTCCACTGCTGCCTTAGAAACTCATCTTCTTCCACATAGCCAAATTTAGGTCTTCCTTGTGATGTTCTCGAAAAAGGAATCTTGATTCTGTGAGTGAATATATATTTAACCACATACGGATCCAAAGCAAAAATAAGGGCTTTAATTTCTTCTCATCTTGATTTCTGGGATATCTTTCAATCTCAGAATAAGCTGAAGAAAACCGCACTGTAAACACTTTCTGGAGCTATAATACCAACGATACCATTTTAAATCCCAAAGTCAGGAAAAGCTAAAATTTAGAGTTACATAAAAATATAACTGGGCCTATCTAGCAAAGGTTGCATATTTAGAAATCCAATTGGAAAAACAACTTAACTTCCTCATCCCCAAAAGAATATCCCTTATATATAAAAAAGGAAATAAGCCTGTGTGCAGCTTTGGCTACTACAATCCATCAAGTTCTAACAGCTTTTCCATCTGATGTAATACTTACACGAATTCTAATTCAGATGACTGCATACCTACATAAAACATGATGACAAAACCCATTGGTTTTGGAGTTGGCATGAGCTAATACAAAGTCAAATGAAAATAACATGTCTCTTTCCTTCTATGTTTAAAGTGGAGCAAGTAGGATCCTGGGTCTGGCACTCAGGGCCTCTTTCTATCCCTCAAACTTTGTTTGTCATTCTTAGGTTCAATGAGTCCACAATGTAGTAGGTTTCCCCACCAGGGAAAGCAGTGAACTTGAGGAGGATGCAATATTTAACTTGTGGTTGGTTGGTATGTGAACAGAAAAGGAAGAGCTATTTTAATTTTACAAGGGATTCTTAGGAGTCTCCATGAATATTTAAATATTTGTCAGTCTCCTCAGTCTATAAGGAGGCTATACAGAAATATAAGTAGAATGATCATATGAGGAAGCTATGCTGCTTATATAATCAGTCAGTCTCATTCATTAGAGATATGAATATAAAAAGTACTTGCTTATATTCCCAAGAAAGACAACAGAAGTGCTCACTTGTGTCAATATAAGCTGAAGTCCACAGCTTGGTCAATGTGTAAATTCTGGAAGCAGTGATTTTCCATTAGTAAAATGCACAACCCACAGAGATATGACTATAACCCTATTTCCTTAGACTCTCTGCCAGCCAAAAAGCAAATGGACCTCTACTGGTTTTATACTGGCTAGTATAAAACCCAGACATAAAACTGCTCATAAAGAAAGAGAAGATGCCAGTATATGCAGCAGAGAGTGCAGCTGTTTTGTGTCTGTCATCTCTGGGAACATATATTTTCATATCTAAGATGTTAGCCCTCCAATGACATTGGTAAATAAATCACTATTGGGCATTTTTATAGTCCTCAGGTTGACAAAAATCTCATTTACAAATGTCTAGCTAGAAAAGCCTCTCTAATTCCACTACAGTTAAGTACATACTGTGTAGGCAGTCATGTGATAGACTGCCTTAGTTTTCTATCCTTCTCTCCATAGATTGATGGTCACCCTTAAAATTCTCATTTATCTTGTACAGCAACAAAAAAAATTAGTTCCCCTATACGTTCTGGTCTTTGGAGCCTTTTAGTATTAGAATCCTGGAAGCTAATAAAATTGGAAGTATGATAGGGTGGAGTAGGTGGGGAGGAAGGAGAAAAAAGAACCAATCGAGCAGTCCTTCCCAACTGTAATAATGACACATTTTATTTTTTAAAAAAATGGCTGCCTCAAAACCTTTCAGAATTAGACAGGGCATAAGTAATTAAAATATTAAAAAGTAAAAGGTTTAAAAGCCTCGAAATAGGATAATTTGTGTGAGGTCACTTTAATGCTGTTCAGGTCAAATGGAGAATTTAAGTGGGCTATCCAGAGTTAAGAGGTAGGAACAATAATAAACTCCGGAAAAGATACTAAACATTAAAATTGCTGAACAATAGAATGGTTAAATGTCAAAAGTTCTATTTAGAGGCAGGACAATAAAATAATCCCATACACTTGCAGACATACCCCAATACTGACGATGAACAGTATTAATTATAATTTTGTCTTTCTAAAGACAAAGAATCCTGTCCTTTATCAAAGGATATTACTGTTCATCAAGGAAAGGTCTAGTTCTAAAAAGCTGAATAATTTAAAACTCTCTAGCATATCAAGAACTAAAAATAACTAAAAGAACAAAGGAAGAAAGATGCTTACCAGACTATCTAGTCCTCCTCCTAGGAGATCCACTGCTCCCATCTGCATGGAAGACACCTGTGGCACATTGACTGGGGGACCAAGGTCAAGGTTTAAAAGATCCCCTAGAAGATCACCTTGAGAGGGGATAACCTGAGGCTGTTCCAGGTTCGTTGCAGTGGTGGTGCCAACAGGGCTGTCACCTGCATCAGTGCTACAGTCATATACAAACAAAGAGGACAAAAGAGAAAAGTCAGTTTTACTTAGGCTACAACACAGCAACAATAGTTAAACATATAGTTACATATAACTATCAAATACAAGGGGAAAAATCCTCTGATTTTATAATCATTTGTTAATATTTATGAAGAGATATTAGCAATTCTTATTTTTATCCAAATACAGTTGTTAAAATAAAAATACATTATGTAAACCTTGTCAGTTACATAATTGGTCAATTTTAATTAAACATCTATGAGGGAAACCCTGTAAAGAGAATTCTATGGTTCTCTGTATAAACTGTAAGGAAAATATATAGTTTCTTCTCTCAAACGGCTGACACACTAACAAAAAAATCAGCATTTAAAAATGACTAAAAAGCAAGTTTACTGTGTAACAGCAGAAACAAGTATTGTGTGTGTCTGCCTGACTGATAGGATATAAGAGAGAAATACATTAAATCAACAATGCTGATTGTAAAAGCTTCTCAGAATGGTTTTATGAGGAAGTACCAGAGAGAGACCTCCAAAGAAGAAGGGAAGGTTTGTACAAAGGCACAGAAATGAACAATTTGACTTTAGGGGTGGTGAAAAAATTATACTGGCAGGAACAGAGTTTGGGATTGGTAAAATTTGGGGGAAGTGAGAATAAGGAAAATAAAGCTTTGAAAACTAGTCTGGAGAGTTGATTTTTGATATGATAAGAAATGCAGAATCACTTTTATTTCTTGAACAAAGAACAAAAACTAAAAATAGCATTAAAGAAACATTATTCTAGCAGCTGTGTATATAATGGACTAAAGTTAAGAGAATGGACATGAAGATCAGCTAAAAGTAATCTAAATTGCTACTGTTATCAACTATGTATGGAATAAAAAAAGCCCAACAAGCTACAAAAATAAAAAGAAAGTGGTGAGCTCCAAGACATGTTAAAAGGCCTAGGTAAGAGAAATGATGATCTTTTCAATAACTGGTACTGGGTTAACCGGCTATGTGGGAGAAAAATCAATCTTGGCCAACAATTCACAGGATAAACAAAAACTGAGATAAATCAGACATAAATGTGAAAGGTAAAACCTAGTTGAAAACCTAGAGTAGCATCTTCATAAGCTTGGAGAAGGTAATGGTTTCAACAAAAAGCAGTAACCACAAAAGAAAAAAAGCCATAAACTGGACTTCATTAAAATTAAGAACATGTCTTCCAATGACACCATTAAGAGACTGGGAAAAGATATTCTCCACAAACTGAGAGAAGATATTCACAATTATACAACAAAGAACTTGCATCCAAATTACATAAGGAATTCCTACAAACCATTAAGAAAAAGACAAATCATTAAAAAGTAAAGACTTGAATAGGCAAGTCACAAAAGAGGACACAGTAACATGAAAATGTGCTTAGCAACTTTACTCATCAAGAAAATGCAAATTAAAACTATAACAAGACACCACTATACGCTCACCAGAATGGCTAAAACTAAAAAGATCAATAATACCAACACTGCTGACAATGTGGATCACCAGGAACTCATACAGTGCTAGAAGGAGCACACATTAGTATAATAACTTCGGAAGACTGGTAGTGTCTCCTACAGCTAAATAGAAAGTATTCTACGATCCAGCAATTCCACTCCTAGGTATATGCCCGAGAGAAATACGTATATAAGTCTACCAAAAGACAAATACAAGAATATTCATAGCAGCCCTGAACCGGAAATAACCCAAAGGTGCAACAGAAGATATAAATGGTATGTTCATGGAATGAAATACTACACACCAATAAAAAGGAACAAACTACTAACAACATAGATTAACCTCACATTATGTTGAGCAAAAGACACAAGACACTGAAAAGTAAAAACTGCAGGTTCCATTTATTTCACACTCAGTAACAGACAAAATGAATCTATTGTGATAGAAATTAGAATAGTGGTTATCTCTGGAGCGTGCACACTGACAGTAAACGAGTAGGAGGAACCTTCTAGGGTGCTGAAAATATTCTCTATCTGATCAGAGTAGTGATTATATGAGTGTATACATATGTAAAAATTCATTGAGCACTAAATGCTAAGATTAGTGAATTTAATGCTAAGATTATTGTAAATTAGACATCAATTTAAAAAGTATAATTCCCACCAAGAAAATTTCAGACTTAGAGGGCTTCACTGTAAATTCTTCCAAACGTTTAAGGAAAAAGTAATGTCAGTCTTACATAAACTCTAAACGAGACTAAGTATGGCAATTGAGAAAATCTGAAAGTAGGTTAGCATGCTTATTAGATAATATTAAATAATTATGTCCAAATTTTTTTAGGCTTGATAACATTATAATTTCAAGTCTTTATCTGGGAAAGATACCAAGTACAGTACTTACGGGTGAAAAGATATGAGGTTGGGGACTGAATTTAAAATATTTGAGCTACCTCAAAAACAACTGTAGGGACAATAAATGAAATATGATTGGAAAGATACTGATAACTGCTGAGGCTGAGTGATAGGTATATCCAAGGTTTGTTATACCATTCTATCTTGTATATTTGAAGATTTATATGATAAAACCACAACAACAAAAAATAACCTCCACTAAAAATTCAATTAATAAACAAATGTTTTCTTTAAAAAAAAAGGCCTAGGTAAGTTTTGACACAAACAAAAACTAAAAAGCAAAAGATTATTTATGCTTCTAATAATCACAGGGGAATCTAGAAGAATGATAGGAAAAATTATATGCCCAGTTCTCAATTCTGTTAAGATAAGTAAGAAAAACAAGTAGAGAAGCCTGATAAACAGTGGACTGGGCTGGGCACCGTGGCTTATGCCCAAAGTATCAGGGTAGAGCACTGGGCTCAGTAATTCAGAACCTGTTCATATTCCAGGTGGGCACAGTGTCTCACACATGCAATCCCAGCCCTTTGTGAGGCCAAGGCGGGTGGATTACCTGAGGTCAAGAGTTCAAGACCAGCCTGGACAACATGGTGAAACCCTGTCTCTACTAAAAGTACAAAAAAATTAGCTGGATATAGTGGCACACGCCTATAGTCCCAGCTATTCAGGACGCTGAGGCCTGTAATCTCAGCTACTCAGGAGGCTGAGGCAGGAGAATCTCTTGAACCCGGAAAGCAAAGGTTGCAGTGACCCAAGATCGTGCCACTGCACTCCAGCCTAGGCTATAGAGTAAGAGTCCATCTTAAAAAACAAAACAAAACAAAACAAAAACAAAAACAAAAAACAAGGAACTGGCAGTCAGAGCTAGAGAAGTAAACTTGGTTAGAAATTCACATAATCATCTCAGGTAAAATTATGAGGGTCGGGGGCAGTGTAGGATGGTGGTAAAAGCAGGAGATTAAGTGTCGGCTCCATTAAATGCTAGTTGCATAATTTTGGGCAAGCCACAACCTCTGTGAGACAAAGTTTCCTCATCAATAAAATGATAACAATATCACTCAAACATAAGGTTTTATTAAAGCAAAGATCAAATGAAAACGTGGTCTAACTGGTAAAGCTCTAGTGGTTAGTGGAAAATTTCCCTAAGGGAATATAAATAGAAACACAGAAAGAAAAGGTTCAGATTGAGCCGTCTGATACAAACAAGATTAATGATCGGAGAAGAGAATAAACTGCAAAGATTGAAGACAGAGATTCAATCTAGGAGAGCTGACTTACAAGGAAAAAGTGTCCAGGAAGCCATGATGAAAAGGGGACAAATATTAAGAAAGAAGTAAAAAGGGGAAATGATTTCATATATCTGGCAAGAAATATATAAAATCTTCATGGAGCATTCTCTACACATGAAATTCTGTCATCTTCTGACATGTACCATTTAGAAAATGTGAAAGAACACACAGTTTTATCAGTAGCTCTAAACAGAAGGTTGAACAGGTATCATGCACGTATTTTTCTTCATTCTAATGGAAAGGAATGAAAAATATGAGAAGATAAAGTGAATTAGATGAAAAGAAGTAAATGATTCTATAGATTCTACAAGAATATGACACATTGCTAGTATACATCCTTTCTGAATGGAAAATAAAAATTAATATAAAGACATTTCCAATTTTAAGGGAAATAACTGCGTAACTGTCATCAAAGCAATATTTTTTAAAAGTGAGATTTTTCTGAATTAGACAACTATTTACTACACCTCATTCCCATAAAGCAGCTGACAAGCATAAGCATAGTAAGCAATATACAAGTAAAAATTACTTCTCTCTTTCCCAGGTGATTTGAAAAGACCCATTGAAGCAAGCATTTTTAAACCTCTAGAAGATGCAGAATAAGGTTTTAAAGTGTTCTTTGTTTCCTATGAGAGGTGTATCACTTATTAACCTTACATTGCAGAACAGAGCTAGGTAATGTCAATACTGCTACAAACATGCCATTTGCAGCAACATATCATCCCCATTTATATCAAAACAGGATTTTCTTTGTATTTGCATTTCCTTTAAAAACACAAAACATGCACAAATGGACAAAAAGGAGGTTATCCAAAAAGGAACCACAAAAGAAATTGTGAAGATAAGAACTTAAAGGCTATTAATCAGATAAAGACCTTATGTAAGATACTGTGTTTCTTTTTAGATAGTTTAAATGTTGGTTCTTTCCCTTTGTTTAAGAAAGGGTTGTTTTGTTTCTTGATGTTTCATTTTCCCACTCCCATGTGAGGGTTAAAAGTTATCAGGAGGCTAGATATAAAAATGATTAGGAGGGAAGTTACAACAGAAAATCCGAATCTACATTGAAACTTGAAGCACACACTCTACACACTTGGAGAAATACTTGGAAGTTAAACAGTTTCATCTAGAGAATGCTAAACATGCTTGCCTACAAGGAGAAACATCCTAATTCACTGTAAGGACTAATCCTTATGAAGCCCACATTTCCTTTGGATTATAATATCTGCTGTAAAACAAGATTCAACTTAATTATGAAAGATTAATAATCTCCTTGGGTGTTGTAGTTTCTTGTTTATCTGTGTCCACGGTCTGTTTACATAGAGCCCAAAATATTGACCACACCGATTTATAAAGCAATAAGTCCTACACTTTGGCCACTCACAACCACTTAAACAATAACATATATTAGACAATGATATAAGATACTCATTAATAGAAGTCCAATTATTCTAACTACTCTAGGAGGATCCTAATTTGATCAAGGTCTATTATGATTGATGAAGGAATCAGATTCTAAAAAGATTCTGAGACACCCATTATAAGAGTTGATTAGAGTGTTTCGTCTCCTTAATTAGAATTTTAAGATAGCTACAAAGCAAGAGCTCCATGTTGCTCAAGAGCCTGTTCATAACAATTTCCTTGCTGATATGGCCAATTTAAAGAGGTACAGGTAACTGAAAAACTATGTCCACACAGAATTCAAGCTGTTTTTTTTTTTAAATAAAACAATACTACAAATACTTTTCATTAACAGCTTTACAGCATAAGTCATACCTGCTAACTATCCGTAAGGCTCAACAAAAGCTACAGTAAAGGATCAAGATGGCTAAATATATACAGAGGCTTTTGTTCAAGTTTTCAACTATGGGGATATTTCTAGCCCCTTTTTACTGCAGACTTAAGCAACCTTCAAACTTTATCAATCTAGAAAGTCTTCATCCTAATTTTCTAACACCACAATGTACTCCTAGACTGGAAAACAGAGGAGCTTTTCACCCATTTTATGTGTGGTCACATAAAATGGTATTCAGATGGAGCCCCTGGGATGTATAGTAGTAGGTTGCAAAAATATAAAGCAAGTTCTTTTCCAGACTATAAAAGCATAAAGAAGACAAACTCTGTCTAAACAGAGTCATTTCTCACTCAAAGCTAGTTCACACCTGCTTACCTCCCATGATGAATTGGCAAGTGTTTACGATGGATTCCATGACTTCCTTCCACAAAAGCATTGGGAGGCTTGTGATACACAGAGGCCAAAGAACCAATGTGGCAGATTAGCTCATCCAGCAGAGTTGGCTCAATAAGGTCTGTCTCCTCAGAGATCAGTGGCTTTTCAGACAAGACTACTTCTTTAGCTGTGACAGGGTCAGTTGAGAGAAGACGCCAATAAATATAGCCCCGGTCTCGAAGGTCAGGATTATCAGAATCCTAAAGAAAAGGCAAAGGCAAAGAAGTGGAGATGAAACTGTTCTCCATACAAAAACCCAAACTCCTACATTTTTCATCAACCAATGCAGCAGTGACTTATGTAGACTGGGTATTAAGAAGATATTTCAGGCTGGATGTGGTAGCTCATGCCTGTAATCCTAACCTTTTGGGAGGCCAAGGCAGGCAGATCAGCCTGGGCAACAGGGCAAAACCTTGCCTCTACAAAAAATATAAAAAATGAGCAGGATGGGCCAGGCACGGTGGCTCAGACCTGTAATCCCAGCACTTTGGGAGGTTGAGGTGGGCAGAGTGCTTGAGGCCAGGAGTTTGAGACCAGCCCGGCCAACACGGCGAAACTCTATCTCTACTAAAAATACAAAATTTAGCTGGGCTTGGTGGTGTACACCTGTAATCTCAGCTACTCCAGAGACTGAGGTAAGAGAATCACTTGAACCCAGGAGGCAGAGGTTGCAGTGAGTCGAGATCACGCCATTGCACTCCAGCCTGGGTAACAAGAGCGAAACTCTGTCTCAAAAAAAAATTAGCAGGGCATACAGGCGCATGTACCTGTAGTCCCAGCTACTCAGGAAGCTGAGGGAGGAGAATCACCTGAGCCCTGGGGGTTGAGGCTACAGCCACCCATGACTACTGCTGCTCTCCAGATTGGGCAACAGAGTGAGACTGTCTCTAAAAGTAAACAAACAAACATGGTAACTCAACATAGTTCTAATACAGTCATAATTCTGTTCATCTCTAATGTTTTAAGGGAAGTAAATATAAATTAAGATGGGTTGGTCCTAAGACTCAAATTCAAACAGAAGTTAGGATTAGAAAAATAATGTTTAATCTGGCGAAAGTTAAGTGGTTGAGACAGCCTTGGGACATAAAAAAAATTTAATTGCTTTAAATTAATTTAAATTAATTAGCAGGCTTATTAATAATATATTATATCTTACAGATATTGTACCCATACCTTCTTTCTTCATTCAAATATTTATTAAGTATCTCCTATGGAGACACTGGCTAGGCCCTGGAAATAGAGATAACAATACAGTGCCTGACTTTAAGGAGCTCACATAATATTAACTATTTGAATGGAGTATGAAAGGTACTACTATCTAAATAATCAAAAACTGTTAAAGAGCACACATAACTGCGTCCAAAAGGAGTGATACTTGAATTCAGTGGTCTTGAAATAATTTTATACATGTTCATGACTAAAAGGAAATTATTACTAATACCATATAACAATTTTTAAGTATGTGACATAAAAAAAAAACTCCCCCAATTATCCAACCCTTTTCCATCTCAACTCCCCACCCCCAAATAGCCATGATTAGCAATGTGGTATGTTATCTGTACAGATGGTGCACGTGCGTGCACAAACACACACTTATTTAATATCAAACCAGTTTTACATTATATATACTGTTCTGAGGTTTCTCTCTCTGTTGATATATACAACTGCACTTTTCGACTGTAATGTCCACTGCACCATTATTTACTAGTCCCCTATTGAGCAACATTTACACTGTTGCCTCTTTTTCTCTTCCTACTTTTATTTATTATTGTTTTATTTTTATTTATTTAGAGACAGTCTTGCTCTGTCACCCAGGCTGGAGTACAGTGACGTGATCTCGGCTCACTGCAACCTCTTGAACCCGATTGCTCAGGTTCAAGTAATTCTCCTGCCTCCGTCTCCCAAGTAGCTGGGCCCCACAGGTGCCCAGCTAATTTTTGTATTTTTAGTAGAGACAGGGTTTCTTTATGTTGCCCAGGCTGGTCTCCAACTCCTGACCTCAAGTGATCTGCCCACCTTGACCTCCCCAAAGTGCTAGGATTAAAGGCATGAGCTACCATGCCTATTGTTTTATTTCTTGTTTTTGTGATCATTATAAAGTGGCAATAAATATCCTCAAAAGTATGTCTATTCGACAGCATTTATTTACGCACTAGTAGTTCCAACAGCAACTTATTAAAGGCAACAATAAGTCTCTGTTTCAATTTCTGTATTTCAAACTCATAACCAGGCTGGGTACAGCGGCTCACACCTATAATCCTAGCACTTTGGAGTGTCTAAGTGGATGGATCACCTGAGGTCAGGAGTTTGAGACCAGCCTGGCCAACATGGTGAAACCCTATCTCTACTAAAAATACAAAAATTAGCTGGGCATGGTGGATCATGCCTGTAGTCCCAGCTACTTGGGAGGCTAAGGCAGGAGAATCAGCTGAACCCAAAAGGTGGAAGTTGCAGTGAGCTGAGATCATGCCACTGCACTTCAGCCTGGGCAAAGTGAGACTCCGTCTTAAAAACAACAAAAAAAAATTTTCTTTAAAAATAGGACAATTTGAGGACTTCCATTTTAGTTTCTAAGCGAGCAGATGAAGAGGTTCTTGATTTAGCCACTTAAGGCCCTTATCATCCAGTTCAATAGCAGCAGTTATCCTGATGGTTTTTGACTATATAGTTTCAAATGGTTTTTCTCAGTCACAGATTGTTTAAACTGCACTCACAATGGGGATTGTTGGTTAAAGACAAAAAGCATACAGAACACTAATATAGCAAATTAATACAATATTAAAACAGTAAGTTTTATCTCTAGATAATCTTTACCACATTTATAGGTTGCATTATTCTGATAGAAATGTGTATATGTGTGTGTGTGTGTGTGTGTGTGTGTGTGTATGTATATAAATGTCATTATCAAAATGTCTCCAGTATTTGAAATGCCCGGGTTAGAAAAAGAAAACAGTGATAATTATATCTAATTTAGTTGATTTTGTTTTGTTTTTTTGGGGCAGGGTGAGGGAATAATTTGTTCTTACGTGTTTATAAATAGCAGCCTAAACCCCCCTCATTTAGATCTTCATTTGAAAACAAAGATTGAACATTATAAAAACAAGTTGATTTTTTTTAAATCAAATTTTAAAAAAGTAAAAATTTCCCAAGACTGAAAAGTCAAGAGTAGGGAAGAATCTGCTGCTCAAACTCTGTTGTTCTGAAGGATGACCTGTTAGGCCTACTATAAGCCAGCCCTCACCAACTGCCTCACATTTCAAATGGAGGCCACAGTAATTCAGACCATCAAGACTGAGATAAATAAAAATATAGGACCTTTTTGTGATCTTAAGTTGTCATTAAATGTTTGGTGACTCAGGGAATCTGGCTTTGGATCTACTGTACTGCTAGCTCCATAGGCCCTTCTCAGGGGAAGAGCTCCCAAAATAATCCTTACCACGCCAGCACTAAAACAGTAATTTTGAAACTACAATGTATATCAACAATTTAACACACCAGGAATGCCACTGAAAGTGCAGAAGCCAGGGGCCATACTTCGGAGATTCTGATTCATTATGTCAGAAGTAGGGCCTATTAATTAGTATTTTAAAACAAGCAGCCCAAGTGATTCTGATGATGGTGGTCCCTAGTTCATAGATAGAAAAACTAACATGAAGACTTCTCTTCCATGTATCACAAAGAATAATTACTAACGTTTAGACGCTTCTTCTTTTTTTATTTTTTGAGGAAGAGTTTAGCTCTGTCACCCAGGATGGAGTGCAGTGGCATGATCTTGACTCACTGCAGCCTCTTCGCCTCCCGGGCTCAAACAATTTTCCTGCCTCAGCCTACCGAGTAGCTGGGATTACAGGTGTGTGCCACCACCCCCGGCTACTTTTTGCATTTTTAGAAGAGACAGGGTTTTACCATATTGGTCTTGAACTCCTGAGCTCAAGTGATCCACCTGCCTCAGCCTCCCAAAGTGCTGGGATTACAGGCATGAGCCACCACACCTATCCATGTCTAGACATTTGTTTGTATTCTTTAATGAACTGAATTGAATATTGTATTGAATTACTGTATGATGGGTAAGAGAAAAAGATAAACTTTTGAAATGAAGCCTCAGATTCAAGAGTTGGGTTTTCCTCCCTAACTAATATTTTTAATTATATTCCAATTTTACTTAAAATTAAAAGCACTAAGATTTCACATACACTTCACTTAATTCTCAACACAGGTAAAGAACAGTGTTAATTAACGCTACTACAGAGATAAAAGAAAAGCAGTATGAAAGAAGTTTGCTTAGTCATGCTCTGAATCAGTGGAACCATCATCAGAACCTCACTACCCAATTTAAGTTAACACAATTCAGCAGACCACATTGCATGCTAAACTTAAATTGGTACTCACCAGCCATAAATATTTAGGTTCTTATTTTATAAATGAGAAAAGAAGAGAAAACTTCCAGATGAAAAGATTTACATAAGCATACTTACTCTTTTTTCTTTCTTTTTTCGAGACAGAGTGTCGCTATATTACCAGCCTGGAGTGCAGTGGCATGATCTCAGCTTACTGCAACGTCTGCCTCCTGGGCTCAAGCAATCCTTCACCTCAGCCTCCCAAGTAGCTGGGATTACAGGTGTGTACCACTATGCTCGGCTAATTTTTGTATTTTTTATAGAGACAGGATTTCGCCATGTTGCATAGGCTGGTCGAACTCCTGACTTCAGGTGACCCTCCCGCTTCGGCCTCCCAAAGTGCTAGAATTAAAGGTGTAAGCGACCACACCCAGCAGCATACTTACTCTTTTATGATAACTTCTCAGACCTCATTAATTAATTGGACAGAAAAACCAAGCCTCACCTCAGGTCAGGAGTTCAAGACCAGCCTAGCCAACATGGTGAACCCTTATATCTACTTTAAAAAAGAACAATTAGTCAGCTGTGGTGGCATGCATCTGTAATCCCTGCTACTCAGGGGAAGCTTGAGAATTGCTTGAACCTGGGAGGCAAGGTTGCAGTGAACCGATATCGCGCCACTGCACTCCAGCCTGGATGACAGAGCTCGACTCTGTCTCGAAAAAGAAAAAAGAAAAGGCAAACCATGAGAAATTGCTTTTTATAATATGAAATAACCATCAACAAAGACCTTAAACCTAGCAAACACACATATATATACACACATATGGGCTTATGCTCAATATTGCTTCCAGCAGGGAATGTGTATTCTCCAAGTAATTCTTAACCTTCAGAATAGAGAGAAAGCATAGCACAGTGGATAAGACCATAGACCTAGAGTCAGACTATCTGAGTATAAGTCCTAGCTCTGCCCCATAATAATTAGGCCTCTCTGAGTTTCCTCATCTACAAGAACAGAAATAGTTTTTCTTACCAGGATTAAGTGAGTTCATAGCCTGTCCTGTTCTAGGAAGCTTATGAAAAATGCATCTAAGGCTAAAGAGCATTAATTAAAACTAGAATCAGGAAACAGCATGCCACAATGACCTACACAGTTTCCATGAAAGATTCTTAAATGTGAGCCTAAGGTTTCAAACAACCAATAAGGAAAATAAATTTATCAGGCAAGCTACACTGATACACAGAAAAATCCAAAACTTGTTAGGAATTTGATGTGGCTTCATAAAAAAACATAATGAAGTAATGACTCTGATAACAAGCTAACAACAGATCCAAATAAGGTAGTTTCCCCATGAAGACTGTTATTACTACAGACTGATAGTATTAGCATAATTCAGTAAAAGCAACTTTTTTAGAGGTCAAAAACAATGCAGTGGTCCAGGTATCCAGATGTCTATTAATAAGGCTTGATTCTGAGGTGAATTTCAGACTATCTATAAGAATAGTACGACCTTGTATCCTTTAAGCAATCCTTCCTAAATACTTTATCTCAAATTTTGATAAATACTTAAGAGGTAAGAGACTGAGTTTGAAGTCTGGTGAGAATTCAAAATACAGCTCTCCTATGGTGCCTGTTAAATACAAACACATAGGCCTTAACAGACGGTGAAGACAGGGTTGAGAACTTGTGAACACAGAGGAAACTACCAAATATACTTGCTTGAATATTTACAGTAAGCAGACAGGAAGAAAAGTCAAAATTCTCTTTAGAAATTGTTTTGAGAGAATGTAAGCTGCTCTAATTCTGTCACTCTACGTGACCACTTATAGCAAGCTTGTTCAACCTGGGACCCAATACAAATTCACAAACTTTCTTAAAACATTATGAGATTCTTTTGCGATTTTTTTTTTTTTTTAGCTCATCAGCTGTTGTTAGTATATTTTATGTGTGGCCCAAGACAATTCTCAATTCTTTTTTGAATGTGGCCCAGGGAAGCCAAAAGATTGGACATCGCTGACTTAGGAGTTTAAAATTAAAACATGAAACAGAGTGCAAAAAAAGTGGGGGAGGTGAATAAATAAATTGTTTTGAATTCATCTTAGAGATACAAATGGGTTAATTAAGGATCCAGACACAGGAAATCTAGAATGCTCAATTCACAAGAGATAACATTAGCCACTAATACTTATAACTGCTTTGTTTCAGGCAGAGAAGATACTTAAGAAAGTTTTTAAAATACTTTAAAAAGCTCATACAAATTAAAGTTTTAAAGTTGTAAAATTAATAACAGGAAAAATTATGGCTCAGAATAGGCAAAGTACTGTTAAAGGGTTTTAAATTTTGATTACACATCAATATAAAGGAATGAGAGAGAAAAATGGTAAACTGGATATCTGAATCAAATTCCATTTGCAGATATACATCTTAACTCTGACAGCCTGCTAAAAAGCCAGCTTCTTGGCAAATCCATTTAAGAATATAACTAAATCATGAATAGACTGATGATCATTATACCAGTTACACTAGAAAACCTAATTATTTTTATTTCTGTAGATCTAAAATAATGACCTGATCTTTAAGGCCAGTTGCCATTTTCCTGGGATCAGAATCCATCTGAACTTCTTTTCCTCTGACCAAAAAAATCAAATAATTCCAAACAGGTCCAAATATATCAAATAATTCAAGGAAGCAGCATAAGTACTTTAAAATTATTTCCAAGAGAAAGGCAATCCCTCTGGAAGGTAGAACAATGCATGAAACTTTGCTGAGGCCATCTCCTATTTCCACATGGTACTTTCATTTGAAAGCTGAAATGAAGTCACAGAGAAGCTGGTAGTATCAGAACACGTCATTTTCATCTAAGTATGCCCTTCATTAAGAGTCTATGTTCAATTTTCATGAATTATGAAAAGTGGAGTCAGCCAACTCATTTAAAAGCCATACAATTAGCTACAATTCAGTTGAACACATTAAAAGGCATTGTTTTAACATTTTAACAGGATCTAAAGGCCATACTTCCTTCAAATAAAACTTCCCCAAATGAACCCCCTAGGAAGAGTCATAATTTCCTACAATTTGAAACAAGACAAATCAACACCTCACTTTTTCCAGATTTCTTACCTGTGTTGCCAAACTCAAGACCTGCTGGACTAGCTCCTGTGTTTCTGATGGTTTCTTGAGAAACAGCTTCACTATGGCAGTAAGCAGAGTGAGCTGCACCTAAACAGATAATTTGATAGAGTGAAAGAATGGCACTGGCATCATTACCTGCCATCATCTCCAAAGTGGTGTTTCCGCAACTATGAATTACTATGGAGTCTTTCTGATGTTGGTTAAGAGAAAAAAGGTTAAAACTCATCAATATCAACAATAGCAGTCAAAAATATTCATGGGAAATACAAAGGTATTCAACTGAAAACTCTATCCTCCTATCCTCAAAATGCATTTTTGGCACAAAACACTGCTTGTTTCTAAGCCAGATAGTTACCTATGTTTATTATTCTTCTTATTATTATTAATTATTTTGAGACAAGGTCTCCCTCTATTGCCCAGATGCACATTTATGAATTGTAGCCTCAAATTCCTGGGCTCAAGCAATCCTTCTGCCTCAGCTTCCCAAGTAGCTGGGGCTACAGGTACAAGCCACCAAACCTCTTTTTTTTTTGTAAATTTTTGTATCTTTTTGTAGAGATGTAGTCTTGCAATGTTGCCAGGGCTGGTCTCAAACTCCTGGCTTGAAGCGATTCTCTTGCCATCAGCCTCCCAAAGTGCTGGGATTACAGACAAGAGTAACTGAGCCTGGTCTGTATTTCTTAAAGTATATGTTAACATACTGATGGTGATAAAACTGACTCCTGAGCAAGTCTTTTATTATTTACTTCTACCAAAAGCTACAATTTGGGGGGAATTATGGAATCATCTGTCATACTGGGGCAAGAGCCAAGACAGTAGAATTATGTCAGATTACAGACTATTAGGAGTTGGCTGCTAAATCACAAAGCTATTGACTTGTACATACTCCTTGATTTAGATCTATTAAAATTGTTATGATAAATCATATACATGATCTTCTACTTGCTTTGAGTACAAATGACAGACAAAAAGGGCTTAATAATTTATCTGCTTCTCGGTCCCATGGCTCTAATTTTGGTAAGGGAAAGTGAGAAGCAGTCTCAGAATTTTCATCCACAGATAATCTTTTCAAAACTCACCACAGCCCCCAGTGAAAATCCCTGCTATAATGAGCCACAGCTATTACTAACAGAAATGTGCAGTCATTCTTAGGTGACAGAAAATAAAAAAGCAGTGTTAACTACTACTCTAATCCAGTGGTTATGTATTGCCAGCCGTAGCGGCAGCAACATCCTGGACCTTGTAAGACATGCAAATACTTAGGCACATCTCAGACCTACTGAGCCAGAAACTCTAAGGCTGAAGCCCAGCAACTTGTGCTTTAAAAAGCTCCCCCAGGTGTTAATAATGCTCACTAAAGTTTGAGAAGTACTGGTCTGAGTTACATAGGTTTTGAATATTAGAAATCAGTAAAACTGGCCAGGCGCGGTGGACCACTCCTATAATCCGAGCACTTTGGAGGTCGAGGTGGGCAGATCGACTAAGGTCAGGAGTTCAAGACCAGCCTGGCCAATGTGGTGAAACCCGTCTCTACTAAAAATACAAAAAATTAGCCAGGTGTGATGGCAGGTGCCTGTAATCCCAGTTACTTGGGAGGCTGAGGAGGGAGAATCACTTGAACCTAGGAGGCAGAGGCTGCAGTGAGCCAAGATCGTGCCACTGCACTCCAACCCGGGCAACAAGAGCAAAACTCTGTTTAAAAAAAAAAAAAAGGCCAGGTGTAGTGGCTCACGCCTGTAATCCCAGCACTTTGGGACGCTGAGGTGGGTGGATCACGAGGTCAAGAGATCAAGACCTTCCTGGCCAACATGGTGAAACCCTGTCTCTACTAAAACACAAAAATTAGCTGGGCATGGTGGCATATGCCTGTAGTCCCAGCTACTCAGGAGGCTGAGGCAAGAGCATCACTTGAACCCAGAGGAGGAGGATGCAGTGAGCTGAGATCGCACTGCTGCACTCCAGCCTGGCACCTAAGCAAGACTCTGTCTAAAAAAAAAAAAAAAAAAAAAAAAAAAAAAAAAAAAAATCAGTAAAACTGGCCAGGCACAGTGGCTCATACCCAAAATTCCAGCACTTTGGGAGGACGAGGCAGGTGGATCACTTGAGGTCAGGAGTTCAGGACCAGCCTGGCCAACGTGGTAAAACCTTGTCTCCACTAAAAATACAAAAATTAGCCAGGTGTGGTGATACATGCCTATAGTCACAGCTACTCAGGAGGCTGAGGCAGAAGAATTGCTTAAACCCAGGAGGCAGAGGTTGCAGTGAGCCAAGATTGTGCCACTGCACTCCAGCCTTGGCAATAGAGCAAGATGCCAACTAAAAAAAAAAAATTAGTTAAACCGAAAAGGGACATCCCTGTTGGGAGAAAAATGAACACACTATATATAAATACAGACACAGAAGAAACTGCCTATAACCTTTGCTTTCTCTGCAATCTCCCCAAAGACATAGAAAACTACCAGGATAGACAAAAGATAAGAACTTACCTGGGTGCTTTCATCGTGAAAACCCTCCAGGAAGCTTTCTAGTAACTCATCTGCATTGTCAATTCTTTCAGCATATTCTCCCACAATCCAAATCATAGCTGCTCGAGCATCTGGCTCATCTAGTGAGTCTAAGTTCTCACATAGAGTGGCAATGATACTTTCATACCTGATGTGAAAAAATGAACTATGGTTATTAAAAGCCAAACTAAGAATTATATTTAATAGTGAAGGTTAAAGGCAAAACCACAAACAAGGGACCCTAAACCAAACCACCAAACTGTAAAAGCAGTGAGGTTGCAGTGAGCCGAGATCACACCACCACACTCACTTGGGCAACAGACTGAGACTCTATCTCAAAAAAAAAAAAAAAACAAAAAAACAATCAGAAGCTTTGGCACAAGATATCTCTATGAGTGTAATGCAACATAGGCTTAAGATGCTTACAAAACCTTCTCTTATTTCACTTTCAGATTCCTTAATTACTTGTTTTCAAAAATCAAATCTAAAAAAGTATTTTTGCTTCAAATACTAAGAGTGTTCAATCTAAAAAACTTGTGAAAATGTAGATTTTTAAAAAAATATTGTATGAGAGTAACTACAATACTTCAGAAACGGCATGAGACTGATACTTTGTTATAGGTTCTATAATTTTCTACAATGTAAGGTAACATGCAAAGTGAAGACCACAGCTGTTACCTTTCTGGTTTTTATGGTAGAGTGGCTATATGATATGTCATCCAAACTCATACATTTCTGAGAAGAAAAGGTGCACAATCATTAATTATGTCTGGATAACAGATATAAACTGAGAATATGCCTGAACAACCTAGAATATACAGATATCCTATTTAACAGTAACTCTGCCATCAAAGAATCTGGTTAACTTTAAAATACGCCAGGAGACAACACATATTCAGGCAGAGCTTCAGTTCTTCCAAAAGAAAGCAAGCAGAGTGAAAACTCAAGTTTCAATTCCTGTGTTAACCATTTTATATGTTTTCAATTTTTAATAAAGTATCCTATTATGACCAGTAACATTCAAAAGAGTAATTGTTACCTAGGCAATTTCAAAGTGCCTTACTTAAACATTTCCTAAGTAATTTGAGAAAGAGGAGTAAAAGCATTTGGACATACTTGTTGGGGTATTTGCGGAAGATGTCCCTGATGACAACAATCGCTTCTTGGACCACATAATTCACTTTGGTCTGGATTAGATCAAGCAATGTGCTTACACAGCGCTCTGCAGATTGCTGGGAAGAGAAATACAAAAAATAAGAAGTCAGATGATCTATGCAATAACACTATCTCAACATAAAAATTCTGAAACATGTAGGTGCATCAACTAAACTAAACTGAAAGATCAGGTACTTAATTTGACCAAACTACACTAGAAGCTAGATACCAGGCTATCTGATACCATTCTACATATACCCCAAATTTTATTCATTATTTGAACTGACAGATGAATCAGTTCAAATGAATTCTTTGAATACAAACAAAAGGATGTTCCTCATGATGGATTAACATCTGAAAAACATTTATGTCAGGGATATTAATCTTCAAAGAAAATTATCATCTCAACCATACTGCTTTTAACTTTTGAAAAACATGACCATTACAGCAGTATGGCAGGGTAGTAGTGACAATGTATATATAAAAGTCCAGAAACAAAGAAACACACACACCCATCTTGGATAACCAGAAGATAGAAATAAGAAGACAGAACAAGCCAACGTAGGAGGAAAGAATAAGAATTACAAAGCAGGAGGTCTTTAACTGAAGCTCATGGATGAGTGGAGACAGCAGAGGGTGTCTTTAAATCTACTGAAGTGAAACCAAATTTTGTAGGTGCATTCAAGCATATTTTCCAGTGAGAGTCTACAACTTCCATTACATTTTCAAAGTTACACATGATCCAAAAAACTCCAAAGAACTATAGTATTTGACAATTTACCAATTTGGGGGCTATGAAACTTAAAAGTCTATGGTATTAGATAAACAACAGTTTTCCATAGCCTATAATTAATCTATAAAATGAAGTTTTATCCATTAATCTTTTATTAATTCAGAGAATATGAGAGAATACAAGTGAAAAAAACAAACGTACAGAAACTATAAGTGATCATTTTTTAAAGGGACAGATACCAGAACAGAGATCCTAAAAGTCAAGGACCAGCCTACCACATACTACAATGTACTATTATGGGTCATCCCACTATATGCCTCCTGATAAGATGCAACAGGAAGTACACACCATCACCTAATAGGTATTCTTGCTAAAAATTCTGAACAGGAAAATTACCAAGCCTCTAGACTTAATTATCTATAAGAGGATGGAAGAATAGATAAATAGCATCGCTAAGATACAAACAGCCAAATCCAGACTCCGGGAAATTCTACAAGCCTAATGACCTAGATCCTTCAATACCTGGTACCAATAAGTAAAGACTTAAGAGACACGTTATTCAAGTGCAATGTGCAGGCTTTATTTATTTATTTATTTATTTATTTGAGAAAGAGTCTCACTAGGTTCAATCTATTCTCTTGCCTCACCCTCCCGAGTAGCTGGAATTACAGGCATGTGCCACCACACCCAGCTAAGTTTTGTATTTTTAGTAAAGACAGGGTTTCACCATGTTGACCACGCTGGTCTTGAACTCCTGGCCTCAAGTGATCCGCCTGCCTTGGCCTCCCAAAGTGCTGGGATTACAGGGGTGAGCCACTGCACCCGGCTCAGACCATATTTTGATTTTCATTTGTACAAACAAACTGTTAAAAAGACGTTTTTACATAATTAGTGATAATTGAACATGGACTGAATATTCAATAAAATTAAGAATTACTGTTAGTTGCTGGGCATGGTAATGTGACAATATATTTTAAGTATCTTATCCCTTAAATATACACACTGGACTACTTGAATAAGATTATATATGGAATTTGTATCAGCATCCCACCCACCTGAAGGGAGAGGGAGAAGATACAAACAGCAACTAATCAGTGTTTGCTTAAGATGGATGATGAATACACAAGAGCTCATTATTCTGTTTTACTTTATTGTACACCTGAAAATTTCTGTAATAAAATCTTTAGAAGTACTATAACAATCTAAACCACTATAAGCAATTTAATAAAAACAAAACTGCATCTTGAGATCATTTATATGAGGTCATATATAGGATGGTTCTGTTGTACCATGAAATGATTCTGCAGTCTTCTATGTAGTTTTGTCCTTCTTCTGATTCTATTTATACCCTCTCTTTTATTCATTTTCATCTATTACTTCCTGTGCTGTTATTGCAACAGCAAAATAGTTGGAAGAAATGTAAATATGTTAAATTTATTAATGTTGTAATTGTTAGAATTATGTAGTATGTAGAAAATGGGCAACTATAAGGATTTAATTACCATAAATTAGATAATATAAATAAATGCTTAGCACAGGGCTTGATATAAAGCTCATATTTAGTCAATCCTTAGTCTTATCATTAAAATGAATACCAATAAAAGGATGTTCCTCATGATATATAAACATTTAAAAAATATGTCAGGGATATTAATTTTCAAATAAAATTTTCATCTCAACCATACTGCTTTTGATTAAAAAAAAAAAACCTACAATTAAAGCAGTATGGCAGAGGAATAGAAGTAAATATCCAATCATTGTATATACACAAAGTCCAGAAATAGAGAAATATACATACAAAATTCAGTATATGATAAAGACAACATTTCATAACAGTAAGGAAACAGCAATTTGTTCTGGTGTTTGATCCACTCTACTCCTATCTTTCACTAAAATTATTTCCCAGTTGATTAAAATTACACTTAAACATATAAAACAAGGGCTAGGCATGGTGGCTCACACGTGTAATCCCAGCACTTTGGGAGGCCAAGGAGGGTAGATCATCTGAGGTCAGGAGTTTGAGACCAATGTGGCCAACATGGTGAAACCCTGTTTCTACTAAAAAACACAAGAATTAGCTGGCTGTGGTCGTGCACACCTGTAATCCCAGTTACTTGGGAGGCTGAGGCAGGAGAATTGCTTGAACCCAGGAGGTGGACGTTGCAGTGAGCCGAGATTACACCATTGCACTCCAGCCTAGGTGGCAAGTGTGAGACTCTGTCCCCCTGCCCCCCACAAAAACCATGTAACACAAAACCACTGCCATAGAAGTAAAAAAATAATGGTGACTTTTATACAACTTTAGGTGAAGCACAATTTTCTAAGTGTGCCACTGAGGAAAAAAACAAACTGATACAAGAATCTAAACTTCTGTGCATCAAGAAAGCAAAAGAAATCTAAAAGACAACAAATTGGGAAAATGAATGCTAACTAAAAGAAGGGTTAATATACCAATCATAAAAGACTTTAAAACAACAATGTGGAAAAGATAACATATTGTAAAAAGGTGCATAGGACATGAGTGAACAATTCACAAACGGCTAAGAAATATAACAGTTATGAAGAAATGTTCACTTCAACTAGAGTTGAAAGATTTAGCTACAAGGATACTCCTTCTACTACCATTTGGAAAAAGAGTAGAAACAACTTTAAGGTTCTACAACAAGGGATAAAGTTACAAATTCAGTAAGTTATCAAGTAATTACATGTTATGTCTATAAACCAGAAACTAAAGATGATATAATTTTTTCTTTACAATGTGTATCGATGTCCATGATATGGTAAGTAAAAAAAAAGAGTATAAAACAGAGTAAATATATAGTATTTGTGGAATGATTTCATTTTTATAAAAAATACACCTTTGAATAGAGCACCATATAAACAAGGATATAAAATGATGTCCACCAAATCATGTCTACTACATGATCTGAGAAGGCGGGGGAAGCAGTGCACTCTATTTTTTTGTTTAACTCATTTTATAATTTTATATGGCAAACAAATATGACTTTCCAAATAGGAAAAATATAAGTTTTTTGTTTTTAGAAATGACACACAAACCAGTATTTTATTCTAATCTATAAAAATTACCCAGGCTGGAGTGCAATGGCACAGTCTCGGCTCACTGCAACCTCCACCTCCTGGGTTCAGGCAACTCTCCTGCCTCAGCCTCCTGAGTAGCTGGGATTACAGGCACGCGCCACCATGCCCAGCTAATTTTTTGTATTTTTAGTAGAGACAGGGTTTCACCATGTTGACCAGGATGGTCTTGACCTCGTGATCCACCTGCCTCGGCCTCCCAAAGTGCTGGGATTACAGGCTTGAGCCACCGTGCGCTCCATCTCAAAAAAAAAAAGAAATAGTAAACACAGAAAAAGCAAGAGTAGGAAGTGAAGAACTCCTGGTCTTAACATAGCACCTTAACCTCTCTCCTTTTTAAAACTGAAAAGGACCAGGAGTGTTTACTCCTGAAAAAAGTAGGCAAAAGTTATTGAAAAAAAAAACAACAACAAAAAAAACTATAGGATTGCTTTTTTCCCAGTGCTATTTATTTGCTCAATAGCTTATTGCTTCCCAAAGCTATATAGAAAGTTCATTACTATTCTTTTGCTGCTGATTTTTGTCCCATGGATGACTTAGTGCAAACAGGCCATCATTGCTTCTCCTGGCCCAGTTTACTGTTTGGCTTGGCAACTCTGTTCAAACCAAAAATTTTGAGGGCTGAAACAGTTACAGGAAAAGTTCTAAGGTAAATCTGGGTAATCTGAGATGAGAGCACTAGATAAGACAGGATTCCTGAAGGGTGACCTTAAGTTTCTTGAGAAAGTTCATTCCTCACATCCTCTTAAACTCCCACCAAGGAACTTAATGAAAGGAAGAAGTGAAAGCCATCAGCAGTCTTTTCCAGAAGACTATGAACAATCTTTCCATTAGTCACAATACATGACTTGAGGAATCCAGATGCTTTGAAAACACTTTCTAGTAATTCTAGGGCTAGAAAGTCTCTTAACTTCAGAATGAGATATAATTTTTGTATTACCATTTATAGCTTTGTCAGAGAGGTCATAAGACAATGACAGTCTGGTAGAAAAGACAGCTATGTACAATAGTAAAGAGAACAAAACTATCTCACTCTTATGCTACCAAAATCTCTCTGAAAATTACCTACATTAACACGAAGTTGACAGTAAGATATGTCAATTTAAAAAGAAAAGAAAAATTAAGTTGTGATGTGTGGTGATAGTGGTAATAAAAAAGATGTAACATATCAAGGTCCAATAAAAAGACTTTCCCATTTCTCCGATGAAGCAAGAGAAACATATTAAACATCTGAATCAAGTGAGCTAG